TCCTCCGTTTTTTTCTAAAACCTGTCATTTTTGACATTTGACACAAACATATGTTTTTTTTTAAATGGAAACCATAGTTGGCCATGACTTTATAAAAAGTGCCATTTTTTAAGCTTTTCAGCGATATAAGCTATAATATGTTTTCTTCGAAAAATTATCGAGTTATAGCCAATTCTTATCATTCTTAAATAATTTCACTTAGTTAGCCATGGAAACAATCGTCTTTGCTCTTATAAATGTGAGCTGCCACATCCAAACTTTGTAAATTAAAATAAACAAAAATTGTAAATAAGAATTTTTCAAGTGAAGAAAAGCGTGTAAGATTATTGGTTCAACTTTTCTTGACCATACATTTTCGAGGAAACGTTGACCGGTGAATGTTATGTTATTTAGAGAATGATTTTCAAGACTTGTTAGAAAAGTTAAATTTAGTTATAGCCAATTCTTATCTTTCTTGACTAATTTCACTTAGATAGCATGGCATTCTTATTCTTTTGTGATTTATAACTTACAAAAAGTCTAAAACTAAAACAAACTAAAACTTAAAAAAATAATATCGCTGCAGTCACTGCATACACTTTAAGTTATTTTAGAAAATGTTCAAAAAATCCGCCATTGTTTTGAGTTACATCTTTTTAAAACTGAATTATTACCTATTCTCACAAAAGGACCGGTTGACTTAATTAAACTTCTCTCGTACCGCCACTTCGAGTGCCTCTCTTAATTCATAAGTTCTTTTGTAAACCTTATTTTTAACCATACCGCATAAAAAAAATCTAAAATAGATAGGTCAGGTGATCGAGGAGGCCTATGCAATTAGTCCACCTCTTCCTATCCCTGAGTTTATATTATTATGATATCAATAATTTTTAACATTTCTTTCATTATGCGGGGGGCATAATGAAAGTCATTTTGGAAACACTCTATTGATGCGCGAGTATATACACGCTTTTCTTCATTTGAGAAATTCATATTTACAATTTTTGTTTATTTTAATTTACAAAGTTTGAATGTGACAGCTTCACATTTCTGAGAGTAACGGCGATTGAACTTGTTTACATGGCTAACTAAGTAAAATTGTTTAAAAATGATAAGAATTGGCTATAATTCAGTAATTTTTCGAAGAAAACATATTATAGCTTATATCGCTAAAAAGCTTAAAAAATGCCGCTTTTTATGAAGTCGTGGCCAACTATGGTTTCCATTTAAAAAAACATATGTTTGTGTGATATATCAAAAATGGCAGGCTTTAGAAAAAAACAGAGGATACGATCTCATTAACGATGTCATTTTCTACAACTTTTATCTGAAAACTTTTTGTCTAAAATAGCTTATAATGGAAAGGGACAATTTTTAAAATAGCCGAAATTTGTTTTTTTCAAAATATCTAGTAAGCCATGAACTTATTCATAAATCTGAAAAGCGCATATTTATGACCCCACAAAACTGCAATTTTTTCCCCATTTAACCGACTCTCTATCTCCAGTAGTTTCCAAGATACCCATAGAGAACATCGTAGGAAACTCACCCTGTATATACCTTTCATTTAAAAAAAGAATCATCCAGATTGGTGAAGCGGTTTCGGCGGGATGGATGTAACAAAAAAACCCTTTGAGCTTTTATATATGTATATGGATGGATTGTTTATTTACCAGTGCTTATTTATAATAACATGCACGTTCATATACAGAAAAAAACAAAGAGTTCCAATGAGCATATGCCCTAAAATGCTTATTGAAGAAGTTACAGCCCCCGAAATGACAAATAAAAATAATATATTTTGTTTATTTTTAAAAACATTGGTAAACTGGTTTTCTTGAAATTTGGTAATTTTACACATATTTTAATTTCAACGCGAATGGCGATAGTGTAAAATTCCGTAATAGCCCTAGCTTTTCCATTAGGGTAGAGAGTACTGCTGATTAGTGATTGAGAGTAATTTCAACAAATGAGAATAAAAGCTAGGATTTTTTATGTAAAAAAGGTGCTCTTCGTTTAGTTCGAAACGGTGAACGGGTTTCAAGATATTTGCGTTTATAATAGGTTCCAATGCATCGATTTTAGTGTTAGCCTTGTTTATATATTAAAAATACATATACCAGGGTATTAGTGAAATCAGGAGATTAATTTATTTAAAATATCTTTACATTTTATCATTCCACTAATACCAAAATCGATGCATCGAAACCTTTAACCCAGAAGATTTTATGAAGAAATGAATCGCCACGAAGGTATAGGGACTATTTATAATACTGTAATAATATAGAAGGCGTTCCATTAAAAAATAAATATAATAATTTATTTGGGACACTCAGTATGTTATAAAAATTATTTTAAACTGGAGCTGTGGTAAGCCTTCAGCAACCCCTAACCATCACAATTTCTAAAAATTTAATGATTTATATAGTTTGAATATTCCGTGTCGAATAGCGTAAAGACAGGGTGGGTCTTAAATAAGTGCAAATATTTTTAGGACCAGAAATTATATGCAAATATATTTCCACATCAGAAACACGATTATGAGGTTTTCTTCGCGAAAAAAACAACTTAAAAATTTGGAATTTTTTGAAAATTTTTTGGAAGTTTTTTTTAGTTAAAAAACATAATTTCTTGATAATATGGTAACATAGGTAGTAGATTAAATTTACAAGAAAGAAAACCCAGGAAAGATCAATTGGTTTTCAAAATTTAATAAAAAAAAATCATTTTTATTAATTATTTCTTATTTCCAAATTTTCAAGGTAAATTTTCAAAGAAAGAAAACCCAGAAAAGATCCAGTGGTTGTCAAAATTTAAGCAAAAAATATTTTTTTTGGAAATTTTGGAATTTTATCACTCGGTTATTTTGGACTTATTTGAAAAACGGTAAAAAGAAAATATGTTTCTTTTATCGAGATCTACCAGCTCTGAAAATATTTGCACTTATTTAAGACTCACCCTGTATAATCAAATCATACAGGGTTGTTCACCACATACGACACGGAGTATTGTAGCTAAACGATGAGATTTTTACAAATTGTAAGTTTGGGGTTCGTTGAAGGACTATTAGAGGTACAATTTAAAAATATTTTTACAAGATACAGAGTGTCCCAAATAAATAAAATATATCAAAGTTGTATTTTTTTAAATGGAACACCCTGTATATTATTACATTTTTAGTTTCTACGATTAAAATAAAGGTAAATTTGATTAAAGTTTATTATACTTAAACCTTACCGTTTTTGAAATATTTTCAATTTTGTGAAATTGCAGTAAAAATTTTAAAGCTTCATTTCTCCAAGGGTATCAATGTTTTTAATACTAAATATTTAATGAAGTTTATTTATTGATTGGTTATTGTGTTGCAATAATAAAAATAATACTATCTTATACAGAGTGTCTAAAAATTTATTTTAAATAATTATTAGCTTGAAACGGCAATAACTTCTTTAATTTAAATGGAATGCCCTGTATATTTTAGGAGAATCAGATGCACAATTAAATTGTCTATCAAATTGTATTATACCATTTTTTACCTATCCCTTCAAGTTTTCGTAGAAAATGCATTTTCTTATAATTTAGACCTCATTTATCAATATATCCATGGAATATTAACATTTTAGATTGTTTTTAAAGCAACAAATGTACAAAATGTACAGACTAGTAATATTACTAGCCCATTTGTATGCAAAAAGAAAACTATTTAAATCTTTATAAAAGAGTATACCATTAATTAAATATAACACCATTATTTCCGCCCATATACTAATTAATTACATACTTAATTGTGTTCGTTAATAAATTATTATAAATAAATGTGGATTTGAGTCAGAAATCAATATAATAATAAGTTATCAAATTAAAGTCTCTGTTGTTATAAATAAACATTTATTAAAAAATGAAATATCATTTTTAAGGTGTTACTTTTTATCACACTGTCTAATGCCCATACAAAATTCAGTTTTTTAGTATTTGGAGCAATTATTATTAATCAACGCAAACAGTCAGTTAATGTAGTTTGAATACTGGAATCATATTAATTGATCCTCTTTAACAAATATTTAAACAGTTTTTTTTATTTTTTAATGAAATAAACGAATTATATCGACAATATTAGTATCTGTACTCTTTAAAAATTTGGTACATCTTTAAAAATAATCTAAAATGTCAATAGTCCATGGGTATATTGATAAATAAGTTTTAAATTACAAGAAAATGCATTTTCTACGGAAACTTAAAGAGATAGGTAAAAAATGGTAAATATAATTTGATAGACAATTAAATTGTGCATCTGATTCTCGTAAAATATACAGGGTGTTCCATTTAAATTAAACAAGTTATTGCCGTTTGAAGCTAATAATTATTTAAAATAATTTTTTAGACACTCTGTATAAGGTAGTATTTTTTTTATTATTGCAACACAATATCTGATCAGTAAATAAACTTCAGTAAATATTTAGTATTAAAAACTTTGATACCCTTGGAGAAATGAAGCCTTAAAATTTTTACTGCAATTTCACAAAATTGAAAATATTTCAAAAACGGTAAGGTTTAAGTATAATAAATCTTAATCAAATTTACCTTTATTTTAATCGTAGAAACTAAAAATGTAATAATATACAGGGTATTCCATTTAAAAAAATACAACTTTGATATTTTTTTACTTATTTGGGACATTCTGTATCTTGTAAAATTATTTTTAAATTGTACCTCAAATAGTCCTTCATCGAACCCAAAACTTACAATTTGTATAAATCTCATCGTTTAGCTACAATACTCCGTGTCGTATGTGGTGAACAACCCTGTATAATAACTTATTTAAAACTCATTTTTTTAATATTTGCACTTAGACTCAGCCTGTATATCAGGAGGGAGAAATAAAGCTTTAACTAGATATCTCAAATTCTTATAATTTTATCCTAGTTAATGGCAAAAAATTGCCGCATAAATTAGTAGACCTCTTGAAAATTGAATATATTTTTTGAAAAAAAAAAGAAAACTATCTGACCAATAAAGAGTACCTGTTTTTGGAAAACTACAAATCCATACATCTTGCTCGTTCACGTTCCAATTTAAAATATTTTCTTGCAGTTCTTTAAACCTTACGGGCATAGTCACCCCATCGACTGTTACATATCCCTTTCGAAATCTATTTACAAAATACTTATTCAGAAGCGCATCGTGCCTATCATTTTCCATTGTCTCCATTGTATCGACCACCATTATATATTGACTAATTGAAATTATTAAAAACGTACGACGAGGTAGCGAACTTCGTGAACCCCGGTTAAAAGTAAAACTGATTTGTTTTCTGGTACAATCGTCTTTTATATACAAATTGAGACGATCAGCATCAAAGCGGAAAGGCTAAGAAAAGCAATTATCTGTGTTTATACTAAAAAGTTTATTGTGTAACAAAAAATATTGATATTGTATAGGAAAAATTAGCAACAAAGAAAACAAAATTTTACGCAATCAACCGTTTGATAAAAAACCGGCGTCAGGTTGACTTGAAAATGACGATCGATGATATTGAATTAACCATATATTTTTAGATATAAACGACCAATCATTTCCAAGGACAAATGATCATTTTTCCAAGCTAACTCTGACGCCGTGTTTTTTTTGCTAAAGCCTATATATCGCAGGCGTATCAAACAATTCGGCATTTTGCAAAAAGACTAGGCATATTATAAAACGCGGCGTTTTAAACAAAAGAAGGAAATTTTACATAAGGCCTGTCTGTTTTCAATCGCTTTGTAAAATGCCTAACCAGAATTAGGAAAATTAAACAATGATGATATTTACTGTTAAGTTTAATTATTCATGTTAATACTTCCTTTGAGAACCAACCTCTGGACAGCCCACCTGATGAAGGGTAGGCCCAGAAACCGGTCGTGGGGGTTGGAGTTGGTTCCCGCCCTTAAAGACACACGTAACAATTTTTTCCTTTTTTTGCTTTTATCGATTTTCTAAAATTGGAAAATATAGCAGCTCTAGGGAAGAATTTTGTATTTAGTAATATTTTTTATATGCATACCACCTTATTTTGGTATATAAATAATATTTTTATCATATATCATTTTTCGACTTGACATTTTCATACAATGTTATTTCCCTTTACAGGTTTAAAGAAAAAAGTGTAAGTTTGTAATATCATCCTTATTTGAACAAAACACACAAACACGTTTTACCAGAAAAAAAATATATCAGACTATATTAGGGTAATACATATCGTAATTGAAAATGTGGACACTAACCTATTGAGTTTCTTTTATAATTTTATTTTCAGCTGTATTACCGATTATTAATTGGTAAAGAATTTTATCACAATAACCACAATCAATGGTTACACCCTTTTCGATTGTGGCTAATGATACTAATTGTAACAATTTACTGCAGTTAATGTTACAATTTTTGATAAAAAAGTAAATTAATGCAAACAATAGTTCGTGTATATATTATCAAAAATGTATTTTTGTTGTGCATATACAGGGTGAGTCTTAAATAAGTGCAAATATTTTGCAAGGCTGGTAGATCTCGATATAAGAAACATATTTTCTCTTTACCGTTTTCAAATAATTCCAAACTAACCGAATTATTTACTTCGAAAATTTAGAAAAAAAATTCGTTGAATTTTGAAAACCACTGTACTTCTTCACCGATAAAACTTCGGAAGTCACCAATGAACTAACCCAGTTGAATATGGACATTATTATTTAGTAGTGATTACAGAGACCAAAAAGAAAGGACAATGTAGTGAAACATTGAATGAATATATATATATATATATATATATATATATATATATATATATATATATATATATATATATATATATATATATATATATATATATATATATAGGGAAATTAAAAAACTTGGGTACACGTCATCAATGACGCCATGCGTCGTCTTATGGAGTTTGCTGGTGGTCGTATTATGATGTGCAACCAAAGTTATTTTAATTACCCTATACATCTTAATATCAATCCTTATAATGAAAAGACTGGAGAAATTCATCACTAACTATGAACGGGTTTCTGAAAGAAACCACAAACCGTCACCATTAACCTACATGATATAGAGCCAGTAATAGTGGACAGTAGTATCTATGCGACAACAGACGATTCGAATCAACCCACAAAAGATACAATTTACCAATTACTGACACTTTGGCTGAGGTCAAAACATCTCAAGAACTTTTGATTGCTGGCGACCTCAATGCTAGGCTTGTGTCGGCTCCATCTGAAACAAGTGGAGCAATATATGGTGAAGATGTTTTAAATTATTCTGGAAAACGCTTGATAGACCTGTGTCAGCTTAACAACCTGCATCTTCTAAATTGCTTCTATCAACATAAACTCTATCATCGATATACAAAAGAAGACCATCACTACAACAAAAGTCGATCCTAGACTACATAATGAAAGGACATCAATCTAACATTAACAGGGTTATATTATTCCTGTTCTGTGGTTAAAAGACGTGCTAATTGCGAATCCGATCACTACCTGGTATATGCCAAGGTTCTGGTACCTTCCGCAACAATAAAAAACACTCCGACTAACAACAGGGATAAAGGAATAGAAATCCCTATGGAGGACCGTAAAAGGTTCAGATTGGACCTCCTCTATGAGGATAGTATTAAATGTTTATAGCAAAGAAGACTCAATAATTATCTTAATTAAATATTAATGACTATATCCGATGACGTTAATGAGGAGTATACCAACTTGAAACGAGCAATAGTTAAAGCTGCCGAAGAAGCACTGGAGGAATCCCTCAAAAACGGTAATAAAGATCCAGCGTGGTTGATAGACGAAATAAGAAATCTGGTAGTTGAAAAAAAGAACTATTACCAAAGATGGCTAACAAATAAAACTGAACTAAACTGGAGCGAATACAAAAGCAAAAACAAGGAATTAAGATTTGCCATCAAAATGGCCCAAGCAACATTTGGACGTCGGGACAACGTTGTGTCACTCGACCAAACGTTAGGGCGCAACGTCGGCACAACCTCGTGCCAACCCTAGTCTGCACTAGTTTGGAGAATAATTTTTGGGTCGAAACGACGTTGGATACCTACGTTGGCTAGCAGCCTAATTTAGTACAAACTGCAACGTTGTTTAAAATCCTAATTCACAGAAATACAAAACTATAATAATATGGCGTCTAAGTCACGTTTTATCCTAAATTGGGATCATTATAGTAAAAATATTATTTTTATGATTTAGTTAGAGACATATGCCAGATGGCAGTAAAGAAAAACAAAACAAAAGTATTTAAGTGTGGAGGATGTTTGAAGATCATAATTATTGAAACACTTTAACCCACTCTGTAACTCGTTACCCAAGACAAAAAAGTTAAACGCAAACAACTTTATTGATAAATGTATTGTTTCTACTTTGAAAAATACTAATGGGCCTTAAAATTAAAGAAAAGTTTTAAAACATTTCTTGAATTTTTTTTTTTTAGTAAAATGGAAATAATTTATTCGCAGTCGAAAAAAATTTGTTTCCGCGTGTTGTTTAGGGTCAAATATTTCAAGTTAATGTATTCAAAAAGCAGGAATTGCTATTTTAGGAACAAAACATTTTCTTATTCAACAACATGGCGGCTTTCACTTTGTTGTTTTGGATATTAAGATGGAGTACTTCGAGTAGTCGCATTCTGGACTAATAAAGTCGGAGTTCAGCCTTTACAGGTAGTATACTAGTCGCAAGATTGCCTAATTTAGTCGTCCTAGAGTCTAGCTTGTGCCGCCCATATATATTCTAAATAAACGAGGGAGTGGGTAAAGTATCGGTAATATGTCGATGTATATTTAAATTTAGTTTTATATGTGCCTTTCTTACGTCCCATTTTAATTAAGTTTTTTTTATAAAAACAAAAACAGCACTGAACTGTCTGACTGGACAGAACAATGAAGTGAAAATTTAAGATTTAAGGTTATGGTTCAATACAGTTGCAAAAAAGTAGTGGCTCGACGTCCTACCAACGTAAGAATAAGGAAATCTAAACAACGTTGGAATTAGTAAAACAGACGACGTTTGCATAACGTTGGAATAGGTCCTGAAAGTGACGTCGGAAAACTCTTTTTTGCCCAACATTGTAACTACGTTGTCCGAATCACCTAAAGATCACTTAAGCAGAAAAGGTTACAAGACAACGTTTATTCGACGTCGCAGAAGCTTTTACTTTGTTGTAGTACTAGTTCAACGTCGGCACAACGTTATAACAACGTTTACATTTATTTTAATACCCAAGGTACGGAGCTAACTATTTTTTTGTAACTAATCCAACGTTGTGTTTAGTAAACATGTGGTCGCAAGTCGTGAAAATGCTACTTGGGGGAGAAAACCAGAACATGGGATAACAAGAAAGAACAATTGATAGGCCACCTGAGGTATGGCGTTTGATAGCTAATATGAAGAGCAGTCAATCGGAAAAAATATGCCACACCGTTCAAAAATGGAAACAACACGATGAGAACGTGTTGCAAGAAACTACACCACAGTCCATGGAAATACCCAGCGACAGAGAGGTATAGGACTATATTACTATCTCAGCTGAGGAAGTCCGACAGGAGTTGAAGAAAATGAAAAATCATAGGTTACCTGGCCCAGGAAATATTTCGATGGAGCCCCTTAAAAATGGTGGAAATGATCTTCTGGAGCGTTCAATCAGACTGTTTAATATATGTTGTGAAACAAACAGGGTGCCGAATCAATGAGGGCAATCCTATTTAGTGTCGGTTTTTAAGAAGGGCAACAGGAACGACCCAGAATAGCATCCCGATTGTACCAATTAAAAATCAAAAGTTTTAGTTGCTTCTGGTGAAACAGGAAGTAACCGTAACTAATTAAATACTTTAATCAATCCAAATTTATGCCATATTACAAATATACCAAATCTGTTTTTTTTATCTGTAAAAATAAAAAAGTTATAGGGTTGGACCACTTATGAAAAACACCCGATAAAACCCCCTAAAAGATTAACACATATTTATGACTCACCCTGTATAGAAATTAAAAAAGGTTGAGATTTGTCATAGTTTTGTTTTTTTATATAAAATGGTCATATTTTATTCAGACAATAAAATTATGATCCAGCCAGAATAAACAATTTTTATATTCAAAATCGATGGTCAGCTGCTTTGGCACAATAAGTCGTATTTATTCACTAGCGTGTACCAGCGACTTCGTTCGCATCGAATTAATCATTTGTAATGGTGATGATAAAGCAAAGCAAGAATTTCCATGAACTCACAAACTCTGGATAAAATTTTCTCACATTTATGTCAGCATGAGAAAAAACAATATGGCGATATTATTATATAACTTGGTAATATTTGAGGGGTAGTTTAATCTCGTTGGAATTTGACTTTCGAAAAATCCGTTTGCCAAAAATAAGCTTTTTACGTCAAGCAGTTTAAGCAGAACCGTGGTTAAGAAATTATCCAACTTTTTGGAACACCCTGTGTAATTTTTTAAAAAATTTCAAAACATGTAAAAAAACAAATAAATTATGCTTGTCCAAGTGTTTTCCCGAAAGACTAACCGTTTTTTATATAACAAATCCTCCCCAAATCCTCCCTCCTTATCGAACCTCTACACCCCACAGTCAATCCGTTTGCCAAAAATCAGCTTTAAACGTCAAGCAGTTTAAGCAGAATCGTGATTACTCAATGGTCATATTTTATGAAACACCCTGTATAAATTTATATAAAATCTTAAAATATGTAAAACAACAAAATAAAATATACGTGTTTAAGAGTTTTTCCAAAAAACTCACCGCTTTTTAAATAAAACATATTTTAATATTTGAGGGATACCCCTTTAGAATTCGAGTTTCGAAAAATCCCTTCTTATCGAACATCTACAGCCTAAAGACAATCTGTTTTCCAAAAATCAGCTTTTTACGTCAAGCGCTTTAAGCAGGATCGTGATTAATCAATGACCAGATTTTTCGAAACACCCTGTATACATTTTTAAAAAATCTTAAAATATGTAAAAAAACAAAATAAAATATACGTGTTTAAGCGTTTTTTCGGAAACTTGACCGTTTTTTAAACGAAAAATATTGAAATATTTGAGGGGTGGTTTCACCCTCTTGGAACTGGAATTTCGAAAAATCCCTTCTTATCGAACCTCTACACCCTAGAATCAACCTGTATGCCAAAACTGAGCTTCTTACGTTGAGTGGTTTGAGCAGGATAGTGATTAATCAGTATGTCAGTCACTTAAGGATTTTATATATTAGTATAGATCAATCCTAATTTATTTTATATTGGTACAAACCTACCAAATCTCGTTTTTTTAACTGAAAAAATAAAAAAGTTATAGGGTTGAACCACTTTTGAGGCGCACCCGGTATATAGTTGGAAAAAATATGGAACGTTATGTTACTATCACAAATGATATTTGACAATAATATTCATAAATTTTACACTAGTTAACGTTCGGGTTTATTTTTAATTGATACCCTCTAACGGACAAAATAAGCACTTTTGTATGGAAATAAATTGTGTACAATTAACTTACTTCGATACAATAAATACGTAGATGTTCTATGTCCACGAAGAATTGAAACCCCCTGTATATTTTGTAGGTTTGGAAAAAAATTCTAACATTTTTTTTCTCAAAAATATGCAATGTGGCGTTTTTTACAAGGGACAAAAAATGTAGTAAACACTATATGGACCATTTTACAAAAAAAAAATCACCTGTCTTTGGTGGAGTACAAAAATATTTCTACTATAATTAATTAATTAGGGCATAGTTTCCACCTTTCGCGTACTTTTTCTTGTTTTTCGTGAAAGTCGAATGTTAAAGCGCTTAGCAAAACATAGACATGCTAAATATCATTCATTCGGAATAACGGTTTCTAAAATATTTTAAAAATGTGTTTATTTTTTAAACATTTGATGCTCTCTAACGGACAAACAAAGGACTTTGTATAGAGGCAAGTTGTGTTCAATGTACAGGGTGGGTCAAATTCGACGCTTTTACATGGAAACACCCTTTTCTATAGGAGATAGACGAAAACTAATATCGGTGTCTGGAGCTCAATTTTTGTCAAAAACATGATAGTGAAAACCGCATATCAATATCTGTTACCGTTTCGGAGTTACGAGGTGTTTTTCAAAAATGTGCATTTTTAACAAATCGCTGTAACTTTTTTGCTATGGAAAATTTTGTATTTTTATGAAAACATTTCCAAAGCACCTTTTTACGTAGAATTTAATGGTTTAAGTATAATTTTTTTAAAATTAATAATTTAAGAATTTTCAACAGAAAATTTGATTTTTTATATGGGACACCCTGTGTATTTTTAATTTATTGAAAATAATTTAAAATTACCTTTTCAAAAATATAACACACTTGATATTTTGCTCGATTCCTCTTCGAGATATAGAGTATATAAAAATTCGCCCGCTGTAAATGAGTAGGCTTTAAACGGCACCGGCTGTAATGCAAAAAATCTAGCTGTGAGCATCAATTAAAACGAAAATAATACCGTATGATCGAATAAAAACGGCGTCAACGATGGCTATGAAATGAAGATCGCTGTCATTTTATATGTAAAATTATATGGGAAATGTCATCGATCGTCATTTCCAAGGCAACTGGACGCCGTTTTTTTTTTCGATCATACGGTATTTGCTATGAGAGATGCAGAATTTTATAACTATTTAAAATATATTTAATCAACATCAACACATTTAAACTATATCTAATAACAATAAAAATAAATAGCAAGACATGAGATTTTGCTGTAGGTGTTCGACATATTGACCGTCTTCTGATATGGACAGACGGGGCAGTTTTTGAACATTTCTCGCGGAATTCATTAACTCAGTGGGGGTGAAAGATACCCTCTCATAACTGCTAAGTATTTCTAATTCTTGTCTAGATTATACGGAAGAATATGGAACCTTTATTTTTCCGCAAATATATCGATAGGATTAGATCCATGGGCACTAAGTCGGGCGGCCTCGACGGCCAACGGCTGGAATCTTGGTTGGCTATTCAATTATTCTTGAAATTGGATGCAAAAATTTGCTGACAACTTCAGCGATGGCTGATTCAGCGATGCTGACAACTTCAGCGAGAGGCGGTGCGTCGTCTTACTGGAAAAATATGTTTTCGAGTTCCATTAAGGGCATATCATCAATAAAGGGTCCAAAGCCTACTAGTTAAAAGTGGCGAACTTTTAAAAATTCTGTATTTCGAAGAGGATTATAACAAAATATCAAGTTTGCTATATTTTTGGAAAGGTAATTTTAAATTCTTTTCAGTTAATTAAAAATATAGAGGGTGTCCCAAATAAAAAATCAATTTTTCTGTTGATAACTCTTAAATTATTAATTTAAAAAAAAATATACTTAAACCATTAAATTCTAGGAAAAAAGGTGCTTTGGAAATGTTTTTATAGAAATACAAAATTTTTGATAGCAAAAAAGTTACAGCGATTTGTTAAAAATGCACATTTTTGAAAAACACCTCGTAACTCCGAAACGGTAACAGATATTGATGTGCGGTTTTCACCATCTTGTTTTTGATGAAAATTGAGCTCCAGACACCGATATTAGTTTTCGTCTATCTCCTATAGAAAAGGGTGTTTCCATTTAAAAGCGTCGAATTTGACCCACCCTGTACTTATTTTGATTCCAAAAATACGTAGTAGTTCTATGTCCACGGAACATTGCGACATATTGTATACGGAGACACTAATAATAATTATTTCCAGTTAAAATTTATCAATAATTAACGTTTTTTTTTAACTTAGGATAACTTTAAATATTTAGAAAATTTCGAAAACCGCTTAGTTACCAATCACACTGTAATATCTATAAAAATATTTTTAAAGAAAATTGGAGAGAAAATCTGAGATAGAAAGCCTGATTGGTATTTTTTCGGTACATAAATCTCAATGGATCACCCTGTAAATCCTAGTATACACTTATTTGACTCGAAAAGTGTAAAATTTAAGCATAAATGACTAAAAATAAAGTAAGAATGTATACGGTAAATTCAAAACCTTAGTGAGAGTGCAGTTAGATCTAGCTAGAAAAGGCGCGAACACTCCACTAACTGGACCAGAACCGTTCTGCCTCCCAAGTGGTAACCAACTAAAAGCAGTACTCAAGAAACTAAGAAGACTCCATCTGTAACCTGGAATGGGAATCTTGCAACGGACACTCGAAAAAGTTTCTGAAGGCTTACAACCAAAAAAAATCAAAGATCTTCCTGGATTTAAGTAGGAACAATATTCGGATTATCAGGGAAGGTTTTAACAGGACATAACTGTATCCTCAGTAGACTGAAACTAAGAAGAAACGGCGAATGCAGATTCTGTTGGGAAAATAGGGAAACACCAGAACACCTCATCGCTGAGTGCGCCGAGACGACAACTATTCGTGCCATGAACTTTGCTACAACTGATATTGGAGATGAGGAACCACCCTCTGTAAAACTGTCCCAGATACTGGCTTTTGTCAAAGCCCTGGGACTGTATCATGAGTTATAACTCAAGAAAGGGGGACACAATAGATCTGTAAGTTCGCAGTGATTAACCCCCTCCCACTAATTCTAAATTCTAAAGAGTGCAGTGATATCGTGTAATTTTGTTGTAACTCGTCTAACTCGTTGCATTGGCGCGATTCGTCTCAACTGTGTGGTACTTTTCCATTTCATGTTTTCCCTTTTCGCCGTAGACGGGTGCGACTGGTTCGTAATGGAGAAAGTGAATGAAGGAAAAATTGCATCTTGCAGTATTGCGAAACGAGTGAAATTAACCAGCAGATAAACGTAAGATTGCGACAGGCGAACAACATCAAAATATGACCGAAACCGAATTTTCTTTAGAGTCTTTCGGGCGAAAGTGTCTTTTACCTCCGGCTTATAAGGAAATAGAGCAAAAGGTCATCGATACGGCTATTTATAAAGATGACGTCTGGACTGTCAGCTACCCCAGAACTGGTATGTATTTTTTTGAATATAGCGATATTGATGACATTCGGTTCTTTAAGATAATGAGAAGGTAAATTTATTTAAGGTTCTACTTGGTGCCAGGAGATTGTATGGCTGATTGGTAATGATTTAGATTTTGAAAAGGCGAAAACGGTGTTACAGCAATTAAGAGCTCCGTTAATTGAGTAAATAATATATGATTAATTAAGTAGAAGTAACCATTTACGGCATAACTTCAGTAGTCCGGGCAAATATCGTTCCGGCATACGCCCGGATTGTCGAGGCACCCCGGGATTACTAGAGGCACTTAAATAATTTTTTTTATAAAATGAAAACAACTCAAAAATTATCAGAAGTTGCATTTATTAATCAAAATTATAGATAAATACTATTTTTCCATCAAAACGATTGTAAAACATTAATTGGTCTTTCGATCTATCAACATTGAGCTGATTTTTCATTTTGATAAACTCATCTGCATTGTATACTTTTCCTGAAACGGAATCACGGCAGTAACATTACTGGAAAGCAGTAACATTTCTGAGAGTAGTTGTTTTTTACCCTATCTTTAAAACACCTTGTGCAATAATTTGTGAGCAAATTTTCATAAAACATTATTTTTCGGTCAAAACCATGTCTCCTGAATATTTTTATTTTTGACTCATGTCAACACATGCCTTGGTTAATTTTTAAGAGCAATATGAACTTAAAAGATAAAGGGAAATGAAAACAACTTTCGTTGCACGTCATCATTGACACCATACGTCGTCTTATGGAGTTTGCTGATGGTCGTATTATGATGTGCAACCAAAGTTACTTTAATTTCCCTAACATTTTGCAATGTTTTCAATTATCGTTACGTTTTGATGATATTCTTCATAATGACGAGGTGGCTTTGGTGATTATTGTTGTGTACGATTTAATATGGTTCATTGTGCAAAAGTCATTGCTCTTGTTGAAGATGGCCAAAATTATGAATATTCGCTTGATCCTTGAAGAAGAATTTGAAAACATAACAAAACCCAGTGAGCAAAGTTTTGTCACATTTAGGAAACATTAGGGAACAGTTGCGTAGGTTAACGTTAGGGTAACGTAACAACGATGACACCTAGAACACATTTCCCTTAAAGGAATAAAATGCTTACTGGGAATATACTTGCAGCCTCATTAACAGTATGAACCGACGCACAGTGATCGGTTTTGAATTTTTAGGTGGACAAAAATATTTAAATACCGCAAGCTGTATTCTGTTAACTGGAAAACATATTTTAACGATCGTTTGTATGAGGTTGCGTCAAAATATTAAAAAAAAACAAATTATTAAATTCTCCTGGCAGTCATTCAAATGAAAATAATGTTCGATGACATATGAAAGCACTTCATCTGTACAACGATTCTGGTGCCAAATTTCAAAAAGCGCTCCTCTTTTCGGTAACTCCATGATACTAAAACAGAAAACCGCTGCCAATGAAATCATTACTTCCACATCAGTATGAAAACACAGTGCTAATTTTTTTGCCAAAATATAAAATAAATCTTAAAATTGAAATATATACCCTCAAAAACCCATAAAATGACATACAATTCGACTTTTTGAAAAATCAACCCCCGATTTCACCCCTTTCTCCCTTTTTCTCAAAATCAATCCGAAGCAATGTCCTGTGAATGTCACTCTGTATACCAAATTTCAAGTCGATAACTCAACTCCTTCCAAAAAAATGCATTTTTTTTACCAATCAACCCTCCATTTCACTCCCTTCCCCTTAACGGATTTTTCTCAAAAGCAATCCAAAGCAATGTCTTGTGAATGACACTCTGTATACCAAATTTCAAGTCGATAGCTCAATTAAGCAAAGAAAAATTGATTTTTTTCCCGATACTATCCCATATAACATACAATATCCGCAGGATATTCATAGAATGTCGGAATGTCCCATTATAAGATCATCTTATAAAGACATCTATAGGATATCCTCCAGATATCCTGAAATCCTGTAGATGTCTCAGAATAAAATATCCTATGGATATCTCTGTCGTATATCTAATGTACATCCAGCTGAGATATCCAAACATGCTCATGATAATAAAATATCCTAACAATATCGTCTAGATATTTAGGAAAAATAAATAATGTACTACTTTTTATATTACATAAAATGCAATAAACCATACAGATAGATATATATTACGTCAAGGCAACAAAATATCCTGTTGGTATCTTCTGGATAATCTGGATATTTATGAGCTTGGCCACTCCCATTAATACAGAGAATTTAAAACGGCCGCAGAAAAAATTTCCCACAATCCATCTCGACAGTTGTTTATTTTTTATGGTTTTTGCATCCTGTATTATTCAGTTCTTTGAGTTAGTGAAATTTGAGGTGAATTCGGTCGTTTGTCGATATTGGATGGGCTTAAAAATGACTGAAACTAACAAAACTGGTTGAGTTTGACTTAGTTTTTTCTTATACTTATAGTTCTAGCCTTGTTCTAGCAGAAATTCTATCCTAACCTCAACTAATGTCGAAAAACGACGAACAACTCAGGGTCTCACAATGAAGAATTTGTGACAAAATTATAGGTGAAAATTTGTTGAAAATCGCTTGTTCTTTATCCCTAAACCCATTTTCGTATTTGATCTATTCAAACAGAAATCCTATTTTTGGGTTTAAATTGTGAATTTCTGGAATGTGTGGTGTTAGAAATTATATCTATATCCTGTGTGCTAACTTTGATGTAAAGTGTTGCTGTTAGACATAAACTGCTAGACTCCATAAAGGGTAGTATGATCTGGTATAATACCATACGATCGAAAAAAACAGCGTCAGAGGTGGCTTGGAAATAAAGATTGCTGTTATTTTGTACATAAAATTATATGGGGAATGTCATCGATCGTAATTTTCAAGCCAATTGAACGCCGTTTTTTTTTCGATGGTACAGTATAAATTGAAAGCTCTTAACTCATACAAATAAACTTCTAAATTTTGACGCAAAATTCATTGACAATAATATGTAGGTATATTTTAGAGCTGATAATAAAAATATCCAATGAATAGCGTCAAAATGTGGCTGAATAAAACTAAATCGCGAACGTTTTTACTATAAACTAAGGATGAAGTAAGTATTGTCAAATAACAGCCCGCATATAATGTCCTAAAAATATTCTATAATGCTCCCAACTAGGGCAGAAATATCCCAAATAATCGTAAAAGGCTTGCCTAGGGATGTCTTGAAGATGACTTTTTTTGTCCCACTTGGATATCCCATAAATATCCTCTTCTGGTTTTTGGATATCCCTAAGATATTTACTCTATCCTTGGTGGATATCCTCAAGATATCTATAGGATTGTGTTGTGTTATATGGGATACTTCCCCATCCCAGAGATGTGGAAGCAAAAATACCTATCTTTACGGGTCGTTACGGATTTTAATCTTATATGGTCTCAAAGCGTAATGTTTTTTTTAAATAATAAGTTATGTTTTCAGGTAGAAACTAGTGAAGAAAATTTTAAAACTTCAAGTGATTTTTAAAATGATTGCAAAATTTGTTTCAATAAAAAGGCGTCTAAATTTAAATCAAATACTAACAATCGGATATAATAATATTTTCTTAAAACACTTACCTATAGGTATAATATCCACAGAAAAAAAAATCAAATTGTAACCAAACACTATAAATCTTCACACTGTTTTTACAGCTAAGATATCGACAAAATAAATTGGTATTTATTTGTCCATGTTTTGACTCTTATCAATACTATACGTGAAATTTTTGGGCAACAAAGAATGCATGTTTATTTTAAGTGGATATTAAAGAAACGATGCATGATATTTACACAAGATAAGCTGACCATCGTATTTAGCATTTTTGTCCAGCTAGATTTTACAAATCTATCACTGTGCGACGTCTACCGACAGTTATAGCCTGTTATAGCAGCCGAGGGAGCCAATAAAAAGTATTTTTACAAGTTCTTTGTTTGTATACTTAGTTATTACAGGTTTTTTTTACTTTAATATCAGTAGTTCTGTTAGTGTTACTTATATATATTAAAACCAAGCCTGTATCGTTACATTTAGCCGTTTATTAAAATTTAATACAGAGTTCTAATCAGTGTCGATATGACATTAGTCACCAAAGCCACCTCGTGGTATTAAAAAATTACATCATAATAAAGTAATAATAGTGAAAAATATTGCAAATTGTTGGTGGCAAGTTCATTTCGCTCTCAAAAATTAACAAAAGCTTGTGTTGACATGCGTCAAAAAATAAAATGCTCAGGAGACATGGTTCTGATCGAAAAATAATGTTATAGGAAAAGTTACTCAAGAAATTATTGCACAGAGTGTTTTAAACTTAGAGTAAAAACCAACCCTTTAATTAACCCTATATAATAAGCCAAATACTAAAGTTTATAAAAACTGAGTATATGTGGATATATTTATATACAGTTTGCTAAAAAAATCGTGAAAATAGGGCTAAATGTAAAAAAATATAACACTTTAAACTCGACGAAAAAATTTCTGGCCACACGTCGATAAAACTTAATTTCATTGTTGTCTAAACCAGTCGTACAATGAGAGTTCAAATTTAAGCTATTTTGCTTTTTTAAACAATATATTTTCCTTTAAAACAATGCATCATCATATAAATAGTGATATTCCTACCTGGACCTTAATATTATTTTAATATAAAAATCCTTATTTTATCTTTCTTTTTGTTTATGCCACACATTTGATTTTGGAACCATACGAGTAATTTGCTCAGCAATTTGACGAGCATTTGTCCCAAGTCAAGTTAATCTAATATTTTAGATTTTTCGACGAGTGTAAGAGTTTTATGTGCTCGTTTTATTGAAAACACACTCAAGAATCATATGCATAAATATAGACTCAGTTCATACTCAAAATGTAAACGTTTCTGCTTATCCAGATTGGAAAATTATGATATTTTGTGTATGATTTTTTTGCGACCGGATTTCAGGGCAAATGTTTTCAAATGTCCGAATAATAGCAGTATCCGGATTACTAGAGTGCCCGGTGTAGAAACTGTCCGGACTGTTGAAGTTATACTGTAATTTATTTATATTTTATTTATGGTGTGTGCAAAAATTATGAAGACATTTCTTCAAAGTAATTTCTTTCTTATTTTGTAGTCGGAGAGAGAAAAACATTAAGTTTTTATAACAAAACCACTTAAGCCCCGTACTCACTATACTATACTTATATTCGTAGATGCGATGCATCAATGCGATTCGTTAGTTCATTTGGAAACTTGTCCATTGTGTTCGTGATATTTCTTTTGATGGTTCCCCCTAAAACCGACACTCCGCCGCACAACCCATCGCATTAAAGGCATTGGCGCATCAAACCATTTGCCAACAGCGTCATTAGCGTAACTAACAATTCATTCTGGGGGGAGGGTCTGGGGTTGAGACCAGGGGGGCCTAGGACTTTTGTTATTTTGAAAAATGAAAAATAATTTTAAAAAACACATTTTTTGAATAAAACGTATACATGAATTTCTCTATCAATAAATTTCATAGACTTAGTTATCAGACCGTGTTCCCGTAGGTTAAATAAATACCTACAAATTTTCTAAAAAAATAAAAATTAACATATTTTTTGGACACAACAAAATAATATTAACTAAACAATAGGGATTCGTCTTAACTAGAAAACGTCATTTTTACTACATCACAAGCAAATAAAAAACGTAGCCAAGAGTCATATTTCAAGATTTCTCTGGGAGGTACCCAGCAGTACCTGGTGGGGGCGTCGGCACCCCCGGGCACCCCTGCAATGATCAGCGCACAGTGAGTATAGGGCTTTAATCTGACGCTTCATTTCATGCGCTTGGGAAAATACTTGCTTTTTTATTTCTTTGCTCAGTACATCTTATTGTATTTCTTATTGTATTAGTATTATTAATTGGCTAGTCATTTTAATACTAATATTTAACTCCATTAATATATTCTGAAAAAAATAATAAAACAAAATGAAAACAGGTGTTTAGAGTATACAATGTCGTCTTATAATTGAATGGTCCAGCGGAATATCTTGATAAGCGCCAATTTCTCAATTTTAGGATTTTACAATATTATAGTCGGTGTAGCTGGTCCCTACAAAATGTATAAACTCTGCAACTCTGCAAGGCAATAATTTGTTAAATCCTATGATATATGCCTAGTAAAAACATAGAATACACGGAAATAACCTGATAACCACCGAGTCCAGTGCTCTCCTGTAAAATTAGTAAAATGGCGCTTATCATGTTTTTCCCCTGGACCCTTCAATTGGTATTATACATCTGATAATTTAAATATTAAACCGGCAAAAAAAACCGGCAACTAAAAACTAGTCCCAATTTCAGAGTTGGATTTCTCGCAAACCACTCATTAGATTTTGATGATTTTTTTTAAATTGTAAATTAATTCCTTCTTAACGGATGCTACATCAGAAATGTTTATTCCGAATTTATTTTGAGCATATACAGGGCACAACACAAAGACGAAGTTTTTTGCTCGTGACACTTTGTGACACCCAGTAGGGTGCAGCAGTTGTAGTAGCTATTGATAAATCAAATCACATTGTAGCCTCATCTTTTGTGAGAATTTTGTTTTTTTAATCACGACATTATCTCTGTTTGTATTGGAGGTACGCTGCTTTAAAACGAACATCTCGGAAAAATGCTTTGCAGGCAAAACCGCGACCAAACCAATTCACATGTAAATATTGGCGTAAATACAGGGGTGCCCGGGGGTGCCCCCCCCCCAAGTACTGCTGGGCACCCCCCCCCAGAGGGATCCTGAATTATGACTCTTGGCTACGTAATAATTTTTATTTGCTTGTGATGCAGTAAAATGACGTTTTCTAGTTTTGTTTAGTTAATATTATTTTGTTGTGTTCAAAAAATATGTTAATTTTTATATTTTTAGAAAATTTGTAGGTATTTAAGTAATCTACGGGAACACGATTTGATAACCAAGTCTATGAAATTTATTGATAGAGAAATTCATGTAAACCTTTTATTCAATAAATGTGTTTTTTTAAATTATTTTTCATTTTTAAGAAAACAAAGGCCCTAGGCCCCCCCTGGGCTTAACACCAAGGCCCCCCCCCAGACCCTCCCCAGGATAAATTGCTAGTTAAGCCGGTCCTACACGATGCGTCCAACGTTCGAACGAACGTTCGAACCAAAACCAAACCAAACCAAACATTTGACACAGTTTTCGGCAATATTACAATTGGCGAATGTTTTTCCTACACGATGCTTCGAACGTTCTTTCCAACGTTGGACGCAAACCTGGCGCTACATTTTTGAAATTAACTCAGTGTCGTACGTACTTTTGGCTTGAGCAGATATGGATAATATATTAAGTGCTGGGATTGCCGCTGGTATGATAGTTTTAAGTTGCGCTAAACTGTTGCAACAGAAGCAAAAGAAAAAGAAGACGTAACTCTTATGAATCTGTCTATAGTATCATAAGCAAACTAAGATGGTTTGTATATATCTGCACATCCAGATTCAGTTGTATAAGAATCTATAACTTTCCTCCTCAACGTTCTATACGTTGCCATTACAGATTCTTTTTGTTTTATTCAATTCTGCTACTGACAAGTCTCTACCCATTTCCTGAGAAATTTCACGCCAAGCATTATTCCGAAGCATCATTCCAGCATTCCGGTTTTTATGCTCGGAATGCCTGGGATTCCATATAATTATATATTTCTCGTAAATCGAAATAAATTCCATTGTCATTTGATTATTCCATTCCATTTTAACTAAAAACGGAAAATTTTAAAAGAAATTTTAGTAAAAAGTAAAAACTTATTCACATATCTAATATAAGAAGAAAATTTTGATGAATAGAAAAAGTGAATGAATAAAAGGAGATTTAAGTGTTTTCACTAAAGTAATGTAATAACCAAAAATTCTGTCAGATATTTATTAACAAAAAGAAAACCAATAATTAATATTTCTATATACCTATGTACTTACATATTTCTGGCAAAGAACAAATCACGAAAAATGTTCAGTCTAAGGAGACCACGTTTTAGCATTAAAAGCGAGGCCGCTACTGATCCCTAGTAAAATATCAGCTACGTGAAGACTCTCGTGTAGGAGCGCATCGAATATTACTTCGAACGTTGGAAGGTCCTTTGACTCGCGTAAAATTTACCGACAAGAGCCCGAACTTGCTTCGAACGTTCGACACATGGATTTCTGCGCTCCTACACGATGTGGCGAATGCCGTGCGTCCAACGTTTGAAGGTGTTCGCCACATCATGTAGGACCGTCTTTACGCTAATGCATGTAAACGCGCAAACTGAAGACGTGCTCCACGGTGTCTTGGAAGTAGCTGGGGTCCTGTGGCAAGCCTCCTTGCAGACAAGCTGTTTTCTTTCAGTCTTCTTTGGATTGTTCTCTCACTGACTTGAGTTCTACGCACGGCTTGTAGCAGATGTTGAATGTTGATTCTGAAACGCTGTAGTTCTACGATTTCGTAAAGTATTCAGGACAATAAAGCGGTCGTCAATTGCATTTGTCTTCCGTTTTCTTCTGGAACCCTGAAATTTCCCGTTTCCATATACCGATTTCAGGCATCCTGCACTCTTGTTCGAGGTATACCTAGGGTATCGGACACATAACGTTGACTTCGGCCATCCTCAATTAAAGCCACAATACGAGCAACATCCGTCAGAGATAATGGCATTTTTTAATTTGACAACCGTTGTTGTCATATTGCAAATATTCATAAATCTGTTTTCGCCTATGATTCTTTACACATAAAATTTTCCGCCTGCGAAGCATTTTTCCGAGACGTTCGTTTTAAAGCAGCGTATCTCCAATAAAAAGAGAGATAATGTCGTGATTAAAAAAAAACAAAATGCTCACAAAAGATGAAGCTACAATGTGATTTGATTTAGCAATAGCTAATACAGTTGCTGCACCCTACAGGATGTTACAAAGTTCTGGCAAAAAACTTCGTCTTATTGTTGTGCCCTGTATATGCTCAAAATAAATTCGGAATAAAAATTTCTGACGTAGCATCCGTTACGAAGGAATTAATTTACAATTTAAAAAAAATCATCAAAATCTAACGAGTGATTCGCGAGAGATCCAACTTTGAAATTGGGATTAGTTTTTAGTGGCCGGTTTTTTTGCCGGTGAGTTTATTTCTATTTCTAACTAATATATTTTTTTCTAGAACATCGATAGTAATGTTTGATTGTGTGGATCAGAAGATAATACCAATAAAAGACCAACCAGAGCTAAAATATAAAAGAGGTTTTTTGCCATATTCTTCCATGCCAGATTCCAACACATCAAAGAGCCTTTACCAACTATTTTCAGATTCCTTGAGCTTTGTTGAAAATATGCCGTCCCCACGATTTATAAAGAGTCACTTGTCTTTAGAACTGTTACCAAAGAAATTATTTACAGTGAAACCTAAGGTATGTAAACATTATATACAGGGTGAAGAAAAAGCCCTATATTAAGTTTTTGGTTTGTGATTTTTATTTCAATTTTTTACGTACCTAATGTGAGGGCAATGGTAACGCACATTTTGAAAACATTTTTGTCAACATACAGAATGATCAAACATATTTTCAAACTAAGGTTGTATATTTTTAAATGGAATACTGTATATTTTTTAGCTCAGTGGAGTTGTTATTAAATTTCCATTTCAAAAATACCACAATGTCATATCATAGTATAAGGAAACTAGTAGTTTTACTCCTTGTCGAATCCTTTGTTCTTTTTCTGCCACTTTATATGACCTTGGTCTCGCCTCCGTAGCCGACGACGTAGCTGTATAGTCGTGGTCTATTAACTAGGCAAAGTATAGACGTGGTACTCGCCATAGTTTCACAGATATGTATTTAGGAAAATATAAGGTCACAATAAAATAAAATAAAAAAAATGATCATCGAGTAAAAACTCGCTTGAAAACAGAATATTTTCACATTTCGTGTAGGTAACAATTTTTCTGTATCTGAAAATCTTCTGATGGGAAGAAATGCGGAAAAAATATATAATGACATATTTTTATATTATTATCTATTTCAGAGATTTTCTACGACTTTTTTTTTTATTTAAAGCAAGTTTAATTTTCTGTAGGTAACTGGATTCGGCAAAAATTATGCTATAGTAAACTGTCTTTATTTAAAGCACACTGCGGTGTACTCTATTTCTTATTTACTAAAACTTTGGTTAAAAACATTATATACGAAAAGTGGTAAAAAACTAGAGTGAATATAACTTTATTAATACTTTGCTATGTTTTCTTAAACATGAAGGATATCTATGTATATCTATATATATCATATGCAGGATATTTTTTATGGCGTCACCAAAATCGTAATATTTAAAAAATGTTGTATCTCATTTTTTTTAAATGCAACACCTTGTATATTATTTTTCTTTTAGATGTAGAATTAAAAGGTGAACATTTTTTGACAAGACAAGATAGACAAAGATCATATTAGGTGGCTTTGAAAAAAAATTACTGTTGAAAGAGCCATATGTAATATAATACTGCGAATATCTGCAGCAGCGGTAAAAACTTAGAAACAATTTAAATTAATAAAAAAATGTTCACTTTTTAATTCTGCATCTGACAGAAAAATAATATACAGAATGTCGCATTTAAAAAAATTGAGATATACAATTTTAAATATTGCGATTTTGGTGACGCTATAAAAAATACCCAATATAGAATAATGTATATAGAATGATGTAAAATAATAAAAAAACTCAAACTAAGTTTACCATAACTTTTTTTGTGACACCCTGTATATAACAAAATATTTTAGGATACACCCCTTTATAAACCTTGAAACATATGAATAAAACTTTTTTCACATCTTCGACAACGACGACGATATTGAACTTCCTCGCACTAATGGGCCACCCTGTATATTTACGGTGGTTTAAAGCTAGGTGTGGCACTTTTCTTCCCTCAAATATAAACTCAATGTTTTGTCTATAATATTTTGAATATTGTTATATTACGACCACTTATAATAAAAAATAAATAAAAAAAACATGAAAAATACAGTCCACTAAATTTATAAGAGATTTTATAAAATTCTTTCAATTAAAAAATATGAATAATTTGCGGAGACTTTAGATGTACAAAATATTTACTCTAAAATTGTTTCAAAAACCAATTTATATAAATTATCTCGTAAATTATTATTGGAATGAAAATTTTATGGAAAATCCCCTGACCAAAAAATATTTTCATGCGCATATTTGAGACAACCTGTATATCTAAAAAACTATTTTTAAAATCTGCCCACATGCTAAAAAAAATAATAACATTTAATTAATTACATAATATCCCAGCTTCTAAAATAAACAAATATAATTAAATGTTAATTGATAATTACTATCAGCTTGCCGATTTACATCCGATGGAAATCTAAAAAGACTCAAAGAACAATTTTTAAATTATTTCCACATTTAATAGCAGCGCACAGTAAGGCACTTATTTTTTGTCAATCCGTCCCTGTGCTCGGACGCAACGCTCGAACCTCACAGCTCGACGGACCGAATTCAACTGAAACGCTTTGCAACCTGCCGATATTCGACAGCATGCAAAAACTGACAGAAAATATTTGCGAGAGTGCAACTACTCTTTTCCTTAAACTATGGTCATATACTATACCGAATGGTTTTTGAAATGTAACCGTTTTTAAACTAAATTTACTGCTTATTTAAAGCCCTCTCAAAATTCTAAATTCAAAAAAATAGACAACAATGTATAGGGTGCGGCAATTGTGTGTCGGACATCTGTAGCTCCTAGAATAAAAAACTTAGGAATTTTCTTTTAAGTGCATACCTACAGTATGTACTAAGATGTATTTCAGGAATATATTTTAACTTCTATAGGGGCTCAAAAAAGTGTGAGTGGTTCGGGATGATTTTTTTTAAACAGAACACCGTGTATATTATTTTCTCAATAGATGGAGAATTAAAAAATATGACACTTTCATATGATTCATATGACACTTTCATATGATTCATATGACACTTTCCACAGTAAATTTTTATCAAAGCCACTGATTTCTCTCGTATTTTACCGTTGAAAGAGCCATATGAAATAATACTGCGTGTATATGCGAAACCATTAAAAATTTTGAAATACTTGAAAGGCAAAAATGTTCATTTTTTAATTCTCCATCTAATAGAAAAATAATATACAGGACGTTCCATTTAAAAAAAACAAAGAAACATTATTTTATATTTGAGAAAGTTTCGCGTAGAATTTTGAACACCCCGTATGATTTTGGATTACGATATTTATAGCAAAATAAGGGTAGATCATCTAAAGTAAATATCTAATATAGTTTTGATCAGTTCTTGTATTTGTATTATTTTTTTTAAAGAAGGTTGAAAATATATATATTTATTAATATCTCATCCCATCATCCCAATCCACTCACTCTTTTTTGAGGTACCCTATAAAAGTTAAAATATTTTCCTGAAATATATCCTCTTACATACTTTTGGTTAGCAGTTAAACAGAATTCTGGGCTGTTAAACAGAAATGGGCTGGTCACGTATGCAGAATGCAAGAAAACCGCATACCAAAATCACTGCTTTACGGTGAGCTTGTAGACGGTAAGAGGAGGCCAGGTGGACAACTCAAAAGGTACAAGGACATTTTCCACGAAAACTTAAAGGGGATTAATGTGCAGAATGAGTGGGAAGTAGCAGCTCACAATAGAACTCAATGGAGAAGAATTGTAAACTCAGTTAACAGCGACAACCAAAAAGTTAAGAGGCAACAAAGCAATGAGATTTTTGAATGTCCGGAGTGCGGTAGACAAATAACATCACGTATTGGGCTTTTCAGTCACAGAAAGGCTCATGAAAGAAAACGCCTTGCGTGACCATCTTCTGATGCGTGTCAAATACTCGTCAGCGAGTAATGGCAGTATGTATGTATGTATGTATGTAAACAGAATTCTCATTTTTTTTTATTCTAGTAGCTACAGATGCCCGACGCACTATTGCCGGGCCCTGTATATTAAAAATTGAAAAAAAAACAAGTTTATATTAGATTAGGTGAAACAGTCACTCTTTTGCAACTAAAATAAACAGATTCGTTTAGATATTATTGCCTTATAAGGAATCCAAAAGTAATTATGGCAAGATTCTCTTGAATATCATAAACTAGATAATAACAAAAACAAAAACGCGATGATAATAGATATTTACGATACAAGTGAGTTAACAGCATTATTAAGATACGCGTGTGAAAGTAACGATACGCGTGTGAAAGTAACGAGCGAGCAAGGAGTGCGTAGCACGAGTTGTGTAACCACAGAAGTAGGTATCTTAATGGAGTTAACTCGCGTGTATTGTACAATATTTTATCTACGTCTAAAGGGGCCCACAGACGGTCAATATGTTTGCCCAATAACGCGCAACAATATTGCCCAATAATATTGTTAGTTATCTACAAACAGTACAATGAATTTGTTCAATAACTAGTTTCGTTTTGTACTTTGGTTAACATGGATAAGAAAAACCAAGCTGTTATTGCCATTGTTTTGGCCACTCGTTTAACAAAGAAACAAAAGTGTCGAAGTAAATGGATGAAAGATTGGTATAAGAAAAGAGGCCATATGTTTTGCTTTTTGTATTCCATAAAGCTGGCAAATAATGGTACATTTAGATGACTTCTAAAATAAATCGTCTTTTTTCCTCTTTTGCTTTTGATCCCATATTTGCTGACAAACCACTGATCTAAATATTCTAAATAGAGCCGAGCAGCAAGACAAACACGCAGAGAAAACAAAAATATACTGAACTATTTTGCAATATTATCCACACACGATACAAACTAATCACTATTGCACAATAAAAATCAAACTGTTTTTCATTGACACAATATGTTGTGCAACCTTTCAATGTAAACCCTAAACGGTAAATATTGTTACGTTTTTCGTCGGTTTCGTGTGGATAGAAAGTCACACTCCAAACCAAACCAAACCAAACCAAAAACAATAACGATAAAAGACTTGAAGAACTATTTACAAACGATTTATAACTAAGAATTTATTTTTTGAATTTTAGCGCGTCAACTGCACTCGTCTATTTATAACTGCCCTCTCTAGGCCCCAGCCGCCGGCTTTTATACCGACAGCTAAAGATCTCTAGAATAGTCCATAGATCGTTAGGTGCATAGAGAAGGTTTCGATTGTTCTCGTATGTACTACTCCATTCCAGTGGAACTCGATTCTTCTTGAATCTTCGAATGAATCATTACGGTGTCTATTCTTTAATGCGATGTTAAGGTCATCCGAGGGCGGGTTCCCAAGTAGCAAAAAGAAATTTTAAAAGGATTGAATTATTTTATAACAGTCGAATAGCGTTGTCTTAAGGACTGCTTGATTTTATTAAGCGTTTGGTTTCGACCATTCTGGTTTTTAATAAAAGT